GCCAAATTTGGTAGTAACGCACCCTCGGGCGACGGGCCAGATCTTGAGATATCCACGGACGTACTAGCCATCTGGCGGCTTGGTGAGCTCGAAAAACTGTTCTGCAATGACCTATTCTTTGATTAAGATGTAGCAGTTCCCTCTTAACCTGGCACACAGAAATTGATCTGATTTGAAGCGAACGCCCAGTATCTCTCCGATACGTGGCACTTTCAGGAATCCAAGACAATGCCATAGCTGAGATATGGGAATTTCACACAGCAATTCGCTTTTTACGTTGTGGTTTGGTTGGAGACCAAAGCAGGCAATGTCGATCAAAATATTTCGTTACAAGTTTCCCACGGTGTTTGACACAACAGCCGAAAAGAGTAAATTTGACGGATATACATGTAGGTGCCCCTGCACTTTTTCCATCGAGTCATGAGATATTTCGAGCGATTCAGTCTGGCAGTTTCAGCAGGTATATCGCGACGGCATCGACGTGAACCTCAGAACGAGTGCGACCATGTCCACCGAAAGCGAAGGCGAGCGTGTGCCGCTGCTGGGGAAAGGACTTTACGGCCATGGCTTGGGAGACAAGACACCCTTGGACATGGGTGGGTGCTGGAATAACATGTTCTTCTCGTGGCTCACACCGCTTTTGGACCTTGGACACAAACGGCCGCTCGAATTTGACGATTTGTACCAGTTGAACGCCAACAATCGTGCAGAGCACATCTCTTGCACGTTTAAGAAGCACTGGATGACTGAGGTGAAGAAAGTAAAGCCACGGCTGGCGCTGGCGCTGGCACGGTCATTTGGTAGTCCGTTCGCAGTTGCCGGCCTGCTCAAACTCATCCACGACGTCCTGCAGTTTGTTGGCCCCGTCATGATCAAGTATATGATCGCGTTCCTGAGCGACCCAACGGCCCAAGTCAGCACTGGGCTGTGGTACGCGCTGGCGATCTTTGTGGCTGGCGTTGTCCAGTCGTTTTCGTTGCGGCAATACTTTTTCCTGTGCTTTGAAACTGGCCTGCGCGTTCGTTCGGCCGTTGTGACCGCCGTGTTCGACAAATCACTCGTTCTGGCTGCGTCGTCACGCGCAAAAATGACGGCAGGCGGGATCAACAACCTCATGAGCGTTGACGCGCAGAGGCTGCAAGATATCACAACGTACCTGCATGCGATCTGGTATGCCCTGTTCCAAATGGTCGTTACGTCGTATCTGTTGTACATGCAGCTGGGGGTGGCGTTTCTCGCTGGTGTGGCGGTCATGGCCACTCTTGGGCCGGTCACCACTGGGCTATCCAAGCTCATGCAACGAATGCAGCGCTCGCTGATGGAAGTCAAAGACGACAGAGTGAACGACATGCACGAGATGCTCCACGGCATCAAAGTGATCAAGCTCCAGGCCTGGGAAGAGTCTTTCGCGGCCCGGGTGATGGAGTTTCGCACAAAAGAAATGCATCGCTTGCAGAAGTACGTGTACGCGCGAGCGGGGTCGAGCATGGTGTACAGTGGCGTGCCGGCACTTGTGTCCATCGCATCCTTTCTTGCGTACATATATCTTGGTCATTCTCTGGACGTGGGGACGGCATTGGCATCGCTGGCGCTGTTCAACATTTTGAAGTTTCCGCTGTTCATCTTCCCGTATATGCTCAACTCGCTCGCGGAGGCTCAAGCGAGTTTTGGACGGCTGGAAGAGTTCCTCCTCATGGACGAGCGGGAACCGGTGACGGCGGGACCGTTGAAGGAAACGGCCATCTTGGTGCAGCACGCCGACTTTGAATGGGATGCAGCGCAGTGCGACAAGACAGAGGCGTCCGGGCCAATTTTGCACAATGTCAACTTGAAGCTCACGGACGGCAACCTGGTCGCCGTCGTTGGAGCCGTCGGGTCGGGGAAAAGTACTCTCTTGTCTGGAGTTTTGGGCGATGCTCGGTGCGCCAGAGGTACGCATGACGTCGCAGAGTACGAGATCTTTGCATGGTGTGTCTAGGCGAGGTGCACCGGTGTGGGTCCGTGGCGTACGTGAGCCAACAGCCATTCATCCAAAACGCGACGCTGCGAGACAACGTGACGTTCGGCATCCCGTTTGATCACGCCAGATACCAGAATGCGATTCAGGTCAGCAGCTTGACCGACGATCTCAAGATGTTGCCGGGCGGCGACCTCACTGAAATCGGAGAAAAAGGCATCAACTTGAGTGGCGGCCAGCGCACTCGAGTCGCTATTGCCCGTGCCGTGTACCAAGGTAGGCCTGTCCACCACCGACTCTGTCGCTATCGCAAGCGTGACGTGCCATTTGGAGTAGATGCCGACATGTACCTGCTGGACGACCCGTTGGCGGCCGTGGATGCGCACGTCGGGTCAAACATCTTCAAGCAGTGCATCCAGACGGCGCTCAAGGGCAAGTTGGTCGTCTTGGTCACGAACGGGTTGAACGTTTTGAAAGATTGCGACTCGGTCGTTGTGCTAGAGCAAGGACGCGTCGTGGAGCAAGGCACGTACGATGATTTGGTGGACATGGCCGATGGCGTGCTGGCCAAGATGATGCAAGGCAACTTGCACCCTGCCCCAAGCGACAACGTGCTACACCTCGTGGACGACGATCAATCGGAAAACCGTCTCCCAACCGAACAAGTTGCGCAGGAAAATGGCATCGACGGTGACAACGGCGCCTTGATCGTGGATGAAGACCGCAGCACGGGGGATGTCCCATGGACCATGTACAGGGTGTGGATCGACGCGTGTGGTGGCATTGGTGTCGGCTGCGTGGTGGCCTTGCTGTACTTGGTGACGAGCTGCGTCAACTTGTCGGCGTCATTCTGGCTGTCGTACTGGAGCGAAAACGCGGGCAATTCGACCCACAGCCAATTCTACTACTTCAACGTGTTCATGGGGCTGAGTGCGGCCAGCATTGGGATGTTGTTTGTGCAGACGCTGGCGCTATTTCTCGCGGGGCTGCGTGGGTCGGCCCAGCTCTTCAACGCGTTGCTCACCCGCGTGCTTCGCGCACCCATGTCGTTCTTCGACACGACGCCGCTTGGTCGCATTGTGAATCGCATGAGCAAGGACGTGTACGCTCTGGACGAAACGATTCCGTCCAACTGGGGCATGCTCCTCGGCGCCACGTTCTCGTTCATGACGACCATCGGCACCGTCATGTACGCGACGCCGTGGTTTACTGTGCTCTTGCCGCCGCTGGCAGCGTTCTACTACGTGAGTCAGCGATACTACATCAGCTCATCCCGTGAGCTGCAACGGCTGGACAGCATCAGTCGGTCGCCAGTGTTCGCCTTGCTGGCAGAAACTCTGGATGGCATTCCAACCATTCGAGCCTTTGGCAACGAACGACAATTCGCTGCACGGAACGAAGCCCTGTTAGACCGCAACCAACGCGCGTACTTCTTGAACGTTAGCGCGAATTGCTGGTTGTCCTTGCGGCTAGAAATCGTCGGGACAGTGGTTACGGCGGGCGCAGCCTTCTTCGCAGTCCTTGCCCATAGAAATCATGCGGGTGTAGCGTTTGCTGGGCTGGCTGGAGTCGCGCTATCCTCTGCATTCAGCGTGACCCAGAGTCTCAACTGGGCTGTTCAAATCCTCAGCACGATTCAAACGCAGATGGTCAGTGTCGAGCGAATTCACGCGTACTCCACGATGGAAGTGGAGGCCGAGTTGCACGCCGAGCCCATCAAGCAACTCGAGCTCGACAACGCCAAGTGGCCGTCCCAAGGAAAAGTGACGTTCACCAACGTGAAACTGCGCTACCGTCAACGTCTTCCCTGCGTCCTGCGCAACCTCACGTTCACGATCCATGCCAAGGAGAAGATCGGGATTGTCGGCCGCACGGGAGCGGGCAAGTCGTCGCTGGTCGTGGCGCTCATGCGCTTGGTCGAGTTGGACGCTGGCCAAATCACGATGGACGACATCGACATTGCGACGATCGGCCTCCACGACCTCCGTGACAAGATCTCGATCATTCCGCAGGACCCCGTGCTCTTCTCTGGCACGATTCGGTCCAACTTGGACCCATTCGATCGGTGCGGTGATGACTCGATCTGGACGGCTATCAAGCGCGCCAACTTGCACAACGCCGTGACGTCGCTGGACGACAAAGTGGACGAGCGCGGCCAGAACTTCAGCGTGGGCGAGCGACAGCTCATCTGTATCGCTCGCGCGCTGCTGAAGAAATCCAAGGTGATCTTGATGGACGAAGCGACGGCATCGATTGACGCCAATACGGACCGTCTCATCCAAGACAGCATCCGCGAATCGTTCCAGGACTGCACGTGCTTGACGATTGCACATCGCATCAACACGATCTTGGACTGCGACCGCATCCTTGTGATGGACAAGGGGTCGGCGGCCGAGTTTGACTCGCCCGCGCAGCTTCTCAAGAACCCCAAGGGCATCTTTACCAACCTCGTCGAGCACTGGCGTGACGACAAGTCAGGGGCCTTTTGTCACGACGGACGCCTGCTGAATAAGTAGGGAACCCCTTGCTGTAGATGCATGGATGAGTAATTCGGGGGATGTTCGCGTGGTCCCCATTCGCTTCAAATTACGTGTCTACTGGCCCCCCGAACCTGTGTTACGTAGCAGTGCTGTGGTGCTCAGTCAAAAAACAAAGGGGTCTGGAATATCATGTGCAGCACGGTCGTGGCAGCGCTGTGGAGGGAACTGCACAGAGTAGAGGACCGACCCTGGGAAGGATTGAAGTTGTTTCCGACTTGTTTAGCAGTCCGCTATGCTAGCTTGGCCTTGAACGAACGGGTACGAACCAAGTTTTGGGGAAGGTCATCATCATAACCTTCCACCTTGCCACACAGGGAGGTGAAAAACAAATATATACTTCGATTTTAGAAAATATGAATACTCCGGAAAAGATATACATTACACTTAAATATGTGACTTTTCAAAATGCTGTGCAAAAGAGGAAGTTGCAGTAGGGGCCGTGAGCTTATTGTTTATGAGCGTCCTCAGCACGGTTACGGCCTTGGGCTCCGAGCTTGCGGTTAGCGCTTTGGCGTTCCCGGCGTTTACGTTTGTTAGCGTTGGGATCAGGGAGGACTGTAGGGGTGCCCGTGGTAGCGCCAGGGGGGTTACTGGGGTCGCCTTTGCGAGCAAGATGGCGGATGCAACGGATCTTGAGATCGGGAGGGGGGAACTCAGTGAGCAGAATTTCTCCGGCAGAGTCGAACAGGGTGACCATGCCGAAGAACTTGTGGACGATCCAGCAGTGCGCATCGCTCCACGTCATCGTAGTGAGCAGGTAGACGCCGTTGACCAGCGGTACCATGCAGTTGGCGAGATCGACGAGGCTGTTGCCAGTGAGATGGAGGGCAATGCGTTTGTTGAGAGTTGCTTCGCACACGTCGAGTCCACGGGACATGGCCAGGCGCAGGAAGTCACGGAGAAGGGAGGAGGGAACTCCTCGGTGCATGGCAGCGTTGTGTTCGATCAGGAAGGCGGTTAAGTCGCCATCGGTGAGGTCGAGCGTCATGTTGAGAAGCTGGGCGGCACGGTGAAGAGCCACCGGCAGACAGTGGCGTTGAGGGTCGGCACCAAGGGAGGCCCAGGTGGGGTCACGGGTGCAGAACGTGGCAAAGGTGGGGAGCGGGTGGGGGACAGGCGGAACGGCGTCGGGATTTTGTTCTCTCTCTGTCGCGAAGGCATCGATGGCGTCGTTGTTGGCGGTGTCGATGGCTTCTCGCATGGCACAGAAGCGCTGAAAGAGGCCAAGCGCCTCTGGACAGTGGGAGGCGTGGGCGGCCGTGATCCAAGTGGTCGCTGGGCCACCTTAATATGAATACTCCGGAGTATATGGTCTTGGACTGTCAGAGAAATTTTAGGAATGTCTGTCTTACAAAACACTGTATACATAGTTTTAATGTTTCAGTACCGTTGATTATGGGACTAGTTGAACTCTGCCTGATTATTCGAATTGCCAAGGTGGGAAAAGAGTCAGGGTTCCAGGAGGCGTGCACTTGGGAACACGGCGGGTGCATTTAGTCTCTCCCTGCCAGGTTGGTGTCATTCTACTGAAACTACACCACTGAGGACGGCTAGGGACGAAGGGGGACACAGGTTTATTGACTGTTTCGAACCATGAGACTCACTGAAGTCCAGCCGTCCCTGTATAGGCCCACCCCCGCGGTACGGCACTTGCATACTGGATATGATAATTTCAATTCAATGGTAAAATTCTTATCATCTTAATATATTTCATTACTCTCATTTCTTCTAACAACATCTCTTTGTCTTCTGACAATATCATTGGAATGCGTCTGTGGCTCTTGTACTTACTGTAGGCAAATTTTGTCAACTCATAGTCATAACCAATCTTGTAGGCATTGGTAATGACTAAAACGAATGGATTCTAGGCTTTCACACAAGCCTGCAGTCCATTGAAGGAGTGTCAGTCACAGTGACGCCTTGCGTAGCGTTTGCCGCACCCCAATACGATTCAATCTGGTTCACTTCACTGTGATACTTTGGGAAAAATGACATATGTGTCCTGAATGAGGACTACTTCTTCCAATATAGACTGTGTGGTATCGCAAGCGAAAGTCCGCTTGCGACACCACGCAGTGTCGGGCATTGCAAAAGAGTACGCCTTGGCTTGAGTCGATGGGTGCTTGCTTGCGGCAATATAAGATGCTTAACGTCGTATCGACGTTTTAAGAGTACCTGCTGTACGCCTTTTGCCTAGCTGCGCGGTCGCCCGGGCGAGAAAATCATGCTTTACACTGGACCATTTTCAGTTGAACGAAGGATGGCTTGAGTACCAGAAACGAGGCTCATGTTGATGGCAAGATCAGCATTGACCGCAAAAGCTCCATTGCTGGTGGTTGAAGGTAAACAAGCCCTGAGAGTATGGGTGCAAGTGCTTGAAGGCTGATATGACATCATCTTTCACTTGCCCTCACATATCTAATGCAAGGTCAGTCCTCGCTTCTTGCAGACGTGCAGCATTCGCGTTGTTCAAATTTTTCTCCATTGAGAATGGCGTACAAACGACCGTGGCAGGAGCTCTTAGGAGTCATCAGCGTAAAAGACGAACTCGTCGTGCGTGACCACACTATTTCTGGTTGATTTGTATTGCTGGGATGTTCCGCAGCCGCCATGTCTTCGCCTCTGTATAATTGCATTCAGTCCACCAAACCAAGTAATATTTCGCAGAATTTGTCAGGGTGCGCCAAACATCATCACATTCATGGCCATCGGTATACACCTTCTTGATCTAGGTACAGTAACAGTAGCCTACGTGCTTCATCTAGCGGCGGACCATGCTTTAAGACACGTTCGCTTGCTAGGCACTGGTGACCAGTGGAATAACGACGCAGTTTAGCTGCAGCTGGAACGTTTGGGGCGATCGCTGGTTTGGAGGCTGCATTTGGATTCACTCTCCACGAATGGCCGTGAAGTCTTCATCATGCATTAGCGATATCGTCTTCTGATTTTCCTTGCTGATTCACAGGAGTTGGAGGGGCAGATAGTGAAGAGAAGTACGGATGAGAGAATAAGGAATGAACGGTGGGCGAAGCCCATCCGTCAGTGTAGGCCAGGCCAATGAGGTCACGACATCCTAACGATGTGACGTGGCCTTCGCTGCAATTGATTATGAGGAAAAAGCCTCTAGAAGACACAAAAAACTCCTACCGTTGCAGGATCATCCTGCGACCTGATGGACAGAGCAGTGGGGATGTTCTCGACAGACCGGGTGTTCTGACTGCCTCCCAACAACTCCACGCACTGTCACCGACGCCAGGTGCCCTGAGTGCAGATAAGGCTGGCGGTTAAGCTCAGTAAGCATAACCACTACAGGTTACACCATCTTTCGCCGTGACGAGGGACGTCGGACACCCCTTTAGGCAGGTCCTTACCAATTGGCCCTCCCGCACGACGCGCCGGGGGAGGAGCCGGATGGATCGAGTAACCACCGGGATGCCGTTTCCCCCTGTTGTCGGGCAGTCAGGGTTGGAGCGGACCCCTCGCATGACTGCCTCGGTCACAGGCTGAGAGGCCAGGCCCTATGCTCCCTGATGAGGGGCGAAGGGGTCGAGGGGCTGCAGCTGCAGGACCCGTAGTTGACTGCGCAGAGCGCAGAACGTAGCAATGTCGAGAGGTTTCGTGAAGATATCCGCGACCTGGTTGCGCGTATCTGTATAGATGACTCGGAACGTTTGTTGTTCGACGAGTTCATTGAGGAAATGGTAACGCACATCAATGTGCTTGGTTCGACCATGATGTCCAGAGTTATTGACGATATGGATGCACTCTGATTGTCCTCATGGAGTGCAATTGGTGTGGTGATGGGATGTCCCTGTTTGATGTACAGGCTCTCTAGTGCAACAGAGAACAGAATCATGATTTCTGCCTCGGTAGTCGAGAGGACGACGCTGCGTAAACGCTTGGCGACCCATGATATTGCAGAGATGCAATAGAACGTGACGTAGCCGCCGACGCAACGGCAGTTCGCGTAGTCACTGTCCGCGAATGCACGTAGCATGTTTGAGGCATCGTAGGTGCCACCAAGGACGAGACCGCAGTCGATCGTACCTCGGATGTAGCGGAGTGTACGCTTGGCTGCCTGCCAGTGTCCTGGTCCAGGGTTCGAGAGGTACTGACTAAGTTGTTGGACTGCGTAAGCAAGGTCGGGTCTAGTGCTAATTATGAGGTACATGTACTGCCGATGATGGGTGATACGGTTCACATCATGTACTTCCGTCCGTCATCATTCTGAGGACACATCGACTCAGAGAGTTTGGTGTTGAACTCAATGGGAGTAGGTGCAGGCTTCGATAGCTCCATGCTAAACCTCTTAAGGATCGAGGTTGCATACTGCGACTGATGCATCGTGAGAGTTCTAGCTGAACGATCTCGAACGATGTGGAACCCAAGAATGAACTTGAGGGGACCAAGATCGTGCATCTTGAAGCGAGATAATAGACTCTGCTTAATCGTATATATCATGTCCTTTGTGGGAGCCATGACAACGATGTCGTCTACATAAACGCCGATCTACACGGGCTTGCCTTGAAGGATCGATGTGTCTTCACATCGATCCTTCAACAGTTGCGTGCACCCTTGCAACCGCAAGTAAGTAAGTAAAGTTTGATACCACAGGTGCGGGGCTGCTTGAGGCCATACACACTGCGAAGAACTCGAAGGACATCCCGGGGATGCTTCGCATTGTCAAATCCTGGAGGGTGTCTGACGAAGACGTCGCAGTCGATTTCCCCATAGAGAAAGGCTGTAATGACGTCCATGGCGTCGATCTCGTAATCGAGAACCGCTCTAAGGGTAAGAAGCATACGTAGCACTTCTTTGGC